CCAGTCCTGAATCCGAGATAGACCGTGCGCAAACAGTGTTCGGCACATCGCTGCGGGTGAATCATCGGATGGGGGGGGGGGAGACCCAGGAGGAGAGAGGAGACCAGAGAGAGGGGGGGGGGGGGAGACCCAGGAGAGAGAGAGAGAGAGGAGAGAGAGGGGAGACCCAGAGAGAGAGAGAGAGGAGAGAGACCAGAGAGGGGGGGGGGGGGGGGGGGAGACCAGAGAGAGAGAGAGACCAGAGAGAGGGGGGGGGGACCAGAGAGGAGAGAGGAGAGAGGAGAGAGACCAGAGAGAGGGGGGGGGGGGGGGGAGAGAGAGAGAGAGAGAGAGAGACCAGAGAGAGGGGGGGAGACCCAGAGAGAGAGAGAGAGAGAGAGACCAGAGACAGGGGGGGGGGGAGACCCAGAGAGAGAGAGAGACCAGAGAGAGGGGGGGGGAGACCCAGAGAGAGAGAGAGAGAGAGAGAGAGACCAGAGAGAGAGGGGGGGGGGAGACCCAGAGAGAGAGAGAGAGAGAGAGACCAGAGAGAGGGGGGGGGGGGAGACCCAGAGAGAGAGAGAGAGAGACCAGAGAGAGGGGGGGGGAGGAGGGGGGGGGGGGGGGGGGGAGACCAGAGAGAGAGAGAGAGAGAGAGACCAGAGAGAGGGGGGGGGGGGGGAGACCCAGAGAGAGAGAGAGAGACCAGAGAGTGAGAGAGATAGTGAGAGAGAGAGGGAGTGACACAACCAGAGAGAGAGGGAGAGGGGGAGAGAGAGACCAAAAGAGAGAGAGACGCAGTGAGGGAGACCCAGAGATAGAGAACGAGCTGCAGCACAGTCCACACGGGGAGAGGGGGGAGAATGGCGCGGGAGTGGAGAGCGACAGTGTGGGGCTCAGTGTGAGAGAGAGGGAGAGAGAGAGCAGAGTAATGGCATTAGAGGAAAGAGCTTCGGTACGGGGGGAGCGGCCACCGGCCCCGACCCCACCGGGGGGAGCGGCCACCGGCCCCGACCCCACAGGGGGGAGCGGCCACCGGCCCCGACCCCACAGGGGGGAGCGGCCACCGGCCCCGACCCCACAGGGGGGAGCGGCCACCGGCCCCGACCCCACAGGGAGGGGGGAGGGGGGGGGACACACACACGAGGGGAGAGCTCAGTGTCGGGGGAGCGATCAGGAACATTCTGTTCATTACCAGCGCTGCGGGAATCGGAAATCCATTGTAAACCGACAGAGGCTGAGCGGTCACCGGGGATCCGCTCTCTGTCACCGGGGATCCGCTCTCTGTCACCGGGGATCCGCTCTCTGTCACCGGGGATCCGCTCTCTGTCACCGGGGATCCGCTCTCTGTCACCGGGGATCCGCTCAGCCTTAGGGGTAAAGTGCAGTTGAAGCTGTTGCCATAACCGCTGTTAATGATTCACTGACTTGGGCAGAGATTGCAGACTCCATCACTGACCTCACACTCACACACAGTTACACCCTCATAACGGGACGATCCGGATATATAATAATGGTAATCATTGCTTTTGTTCTCGCCTTATTACATTGTGGAAGTACCTCAAAGGGCTTCACAGACTATTCTAACAAGTGTAGTGACTGTGTTTTGTGAACGAAATGCAGCAACTAATTATACACAGCAGTAGCCCACAAACAGTTGTAGAATGAGTGACCAATTTATTTTGGAGGGATTGCTACCACCGGAAAGCATGGTGAACCATTGCTGTATGGAAAAGGGTGCGTACTGGCTGTGAACAGCAAGATCATAGCAATGCTCATGTACATCTTGTGCCGAGATGTGTTGCCCACCGAGAAGCTCGTAGGGAGTCACTGTTACCTGCCATCAACCAAGTAATAATAATCATAATAATAATTGCATTTGATATATCTCTACTCCTGTTTTCTAGACATCTCAAAGCACTTCACGGAATATACTGTAAAGTGCATTGTACATTTGTGGGCAAAATGTGGCAGCCAATTGTGCACAGCAGTGTCCCACAAACTGTCGTAGATTGAGTGACCAATTTTTTTTTGGCGGGATTGCTACCAGCTGGAAAGCAATCAGCCAATTAACTAAGGATCAGTTTCCTACTTACTGCTGGATAAACAGAGGCGAATGGAGTAAAGCAACGTGTCTAGGTGTTTGCCCCAGGAATCCGAGAATAGAACCCCTCTCCTCTCCCGCACCAGGCTCCATGACCCTATCACCCCTACCCTCTTCCGGCTTCACTGGCTCCCCATTCCCCAGAGGATAAAGTTCAAAATCCTCATCCTCATCTTCAAACACTCTACGGCTTTGTTTATCCCTACCTCTCTGACCTCTGCACTCCTACCAAACTGATAGCTCCCTCCACTCAGTGGGCTCCGGCCTGCTTTACGTCCCCTACCTTGCACGCCCCACTACTGGTAGACGGCCCTTCAGCTTCTCTGCCCCCATCCTCTGAAACTCCTTCCTTCCTCACTCCCTCCCTTGCCTCCTTCAAGACATGTCTCCTTCAACCTCCTCTTCAACCGTGTCTTTTGTCACCCTCAAACTCCTACCCACCCCGGCCTCCACCCCTCCTGATCCCAACTACCAGCTCGGGTGCTGATCGCTGACTGTCCAGTGCCTTGGGACTGCCTCCTGATGTGAAAGGCGCTATACAAATGTAAGTTGTCATTGTTATTGCTTGCCTATTTCCGGAAAGTATTAGACAGAGGTTGGCAAGAACCAAGGCTTGGGCACCCCAGAGCTCAGATTGTTGGGATAGTGCTGGAGTCTAATCAGATGAAACAGCATAGCTTATAATTGATATCGCTGACTGCCAACCTTTCTCTCTGCTACTGCAGCTAGCACCAGTTAACGGGGCGTGGGTGGGATGACTCCCTCCCCCAGTGACTGCTCTGCCCTTCGAGATCCTGTCGATGAGTCGATGGTTGTATTGTCATCAGTCATGCCCTGTAATACTGCAGACCCACCTGGCTCAGGAACCAGACAACCCAGACTGGAAAAGATGTTTTGTAACATCGCCCGACTCCACCACTCCCTCACCCCTCAGGCCGCTGAAACTCTTGTTCATGCCTTCATCACCCCCAGGCTCGACTATGCAAACCCCCTGCTTGTCGGCCTTCCCAACTCCTCCCTCCACAGCTGCAGATAATCCGTGTCCTCTCCCGCACCTGACCCCATCTCCCCCACTCTCGCCCAACTCCATTGGCTCCCTATCCTTCAGAGGAGCCAGTTCAAGAATCTGGTCCTCACATACGAAGCCCTCCATGGCCTCGCACCTCTGCGACCTCCTAAACCCCTACCAACCTGCCCGCTCCCTCTGCTCAGCCGGCTCTGGCTGCTCCACGTCCGGCGACCCACCCGCCCCACCATTGGCAGGAGAGCCTTCAGCCATTCTGCCTCCAACCTCTGGAATTCCATCCCCCAGTCACTCTGCGTCACCCCCTCCTTAGCCTCCTTCAATTCCCGCCTCAAGACCCTCCTCTTCGACCATGCCATTGGCCACCCCCCTTCCCCTCCCCTCCCTTCCACCCCCAACCCCAGCTCGGGTCTGAAATGCTGTCACTGTCCAGCTCCTTGGGACATCCGCCCGACGTGAAAGGCGCTATACACATGTAATGTTGTTGTTGTAAATATGAGGTTTCTGGAAAGGAAACACAAAATAATGCTTGTGTGGTCGGCAGACCATTCTCAAATAGGGAATCCAGCTCACAGCAGCCCTTTTTGAAGGACTTGCAGGAATAGAAAGCCCACACTTTTGGTTTTCTTTAACCCTCCACACCTCACTGAGTGCCATCCACAGCTCTCGTGTCAAACCAGTATTGCTCAGCACCACCTGGATATGAAAAGCTTGCATTCATGTGTTCTTTGGTGTGATATTTCCTCCATGTTTGGTGGCAGTTAACTCAGGAAAAGGCGACCTGATCTAATAACCCGCAAGGTGTTATTGCAAAAAATTAACTAATTAACTCCAATCATTTCAGTTGCGATTGTATCTAGAAGGAGGAATTTTCACTCACTCAATTGAAAGGATTATTTATTTTTAACATTAACTGTTTAACATTAGTAACAAGGTGCCTGAAGGAAACTATTCACAGTATTTAAAGATAATATGTATCGGATAGATATTTTAATTTTAGAGAATTCGATTGCTTTATATTTTGAATGATAATGAACATACATCAAACCATCAAACATCTCCGAATTATCTTACAACAATCATGGTCACATTTTCACATCAAATCATCTTCTTGAAGAATGTAAACATTGAAATTCAATTCAGAATTGGGATATCCTGAAATTTATAAAACTGACCCTTCTCCAAAATGCATTTTCTTCAAGCAGAGGAAGACAAGTGAGATTCCTGGTAATGATATTGATCACGACATTGTATCATTGACATTTGCAGATGTAATGTGGATAGCTGGATAAATTACATCTATGATAGTCTGACATTTCAATTATAAATAAAGGCCAGTATCAGAGAAAGATGCCTAAAGAATACAGATGCAGTCGAACTGTTAGAATCTACTTCAGGCAAATCAATCTATTCCAGTGAAGATTTTGATCATTACCATAGTTTCTGAATCAGGTGCTACGATATTAAATATTTTTGATATTGCTTTAGTTGAAACCCTGTAATTTTCTTCAAGTAAAAATGTATTGATTTGAACCAGGGTGGTCCAACGTTTTGGCTGCGAAGAGCCAGATGACGAATTTGAGAAAGGTCTAAGTGTCGCATAAGCAACATTTTGGGGTTTGCCTTCCAGAAACAACCATTTTTCATGTCATTTAGACATCTCAAAACGTCAATATTACCTGCAGTGCACCTGAGCTGGGAGTGGGAGCTGAGGCATGTACAAGGGGAATAGATGATTGAAAGCACTGTCAAAGAATTAAATCTTGAAGTGACTTAAAAGAGAAGCGGAAGGCAGCAAGTCTGAGGGAATTTGGCAATGGAGTTCCACAAATTGGGGTAATATTGCAATGGTGGAGCACATGGGGTGGTGGAATAGGAAGCAGGTCAGTGTTTGCTGGGCATAGGGCTTGGTGGTGTGGGAAGATTGCTGCCCGCAGAATCCGCAGAAAAATCTGAGTCAATACAAATGGAGAAAAAAGAATGATCCGAAATGGAAAAGCAAAGAAAATTTATTGTTTTACTCTTCACTACATCGGACAGTTTTGTACTGTTATGGATGACAACTATTGTCTATTCATTGAAGTGGCCAATTACAAACTATAATTATGCAAAACGCATCAATAGCTCTCAATATATCTTCCAATATATCTTCCTTTTATGCTTCAACTTTTGAATTCATGTACAAATAAGTGCATCTATGCAGTAATACAGAGTAAGTTTAGAGAAAAGATGAAGAACATTATATTATTCTTGTCCAATGTAAATAAAAATTTAATTGTTGCTAATAATGAACTGATGTTCAGACTGAGATGAATTGCTAGGTTTAGATCTCTATTATTCCTGTATTTGTGTATAAAATACTTCCTGCTAGGTAAGCAGAGGCTTATGGCATCAAGAAATGTTTTGCCGTGTTTCACCCTTCCTGGGAATTGAAATGAGTACCTCTTGATTGTGAGGGGAGTGCTCTAACAACTAAGCTTCAGGAATTCATGTCAACCTCGTCCCCTTCCCTACAAAACACTTACATGTTTGATGCTGAACAACAGGTGTAGTCGAAACGTAACATGTTGAAATCAAGGTTTATTACAAAGGTATAAGGTGATCAGTTCTGCATAATTGTAAGGTTAAGGATTCTGATTATTCTGCTTCCAACGATTGCTAGAAACTCTCCTATCTTATGAACTATTTTTGTCCACTACACAACTCGGAAACAGAATGATCTCATCCCTAATCTAGAGATCATCTCAAGGTCATTGATACCAGATTCGTGCAGTGAACTACGTTAATGAACAGCTCGACTATCCATTAATGTTATCTGAGAGTCCCTGGTACAAAGTTCTACAAGACACCAAGTTAATAAGCATTTCCAATATTCATCAAAGTTATCAGGATATATTCGTCTTTCCTTGAGTTCTTCATTGGTCACATATATCTTACTAAATCTTACTAGTTGGGCACCAGCTAGGTCTCTATACCTCAAACAGTCAGTCACGGGTACTCTAGGAAATTTCCCGAACTGGTGTTAAAACCAGCTCCCCATTCTTTTCGGTCAACAAAAAATTAACTAAATCCACCAACACCAAGTCCATCATCTATGTACAGTGAACAGTCATTATGTGGTATTCTCCAGAATTGATGGCA